GTTTCTTTGCCAGTGGGGAAGAGAATTACTTTTATACTGCGGTTTGGTTAACTGTATTTTTTTCGTGGCAGAAGCAAAATGCTTCCGCTTTAACAGTGAAAATGAAAACAGGTGGTAAAATATTAGTTCAAGTCAGGAATGTATTGCCTGGAATTCCTTTGTTTGTAATCCTTGATCTCAGCCATGTATTCCCACACAACTCAGCTTTAATTCAGCATAAACATAGGCTGTGATGAACTTTATTGGGTCTGAGGACATCACAGGTGATTTATCATGAATATAATATGATAGTAAAGTTACCCCGAAACAAAAGAAGGCAGAAAGGGGTGTTAACTGTTAAAGTAGTTCCCCCCATCTTATTTTCTACCAAAGGTTTACCAGCAGTGTTTTAATTAGTGTATTGTGCACACCCGTTTGTTTCTTTGTCACCTGGGGCAAACTGTACGTAGTAAAAGCACGTTCTCCTTGGAGCTACTCAGAATCTTCTGCTGCCTAGTTCATCTTCACACCAAAACATTCTGTGTAGGAGTTCAGTTTAGAGCTTTTAGGGAATTTAAGATGTAAATTGCTAGTAAGTGGTTTCTTATAATTTCTCAAATGACAGTTTCTTCAGTCTACAGTAATAGCTGTTTTAGAGGTGGTTTCCAAGATACTCCAGCACACACCTACCTTTATTTCCAACAACAAATGCCAGAAATACTCAATCACATTTACAACTTCATGAATGTGGGTAACATTCCTTACCTTCCTGAGTGCTTTTGGAGTCAGGAGTTTAAAATAGTTTGAGATGATCTTAATGCTTTGCTGTTATCAAGAAAGGCATAAGGATATGGATACATTATTTATAAGTGGGATAACTACAAAGGTCATTAGACCAAGAAGAAAACTTTGCAAAATTTCACAGAAATCAATTTTTTTTCCTGTCCTTACTTCTCAGAAAAGCTCAGTAAACATCCAATAAAACTAAATAAGTGGAAGAAAATATTCTGATCCCTGCCTTAACACCACTGCTTCCTGTGGTTTTTCCAAGCCATAGTCCAAAGAATCAGTGGGTCTGCAGTCCTCTTGTTAATACTTCACACAGGGTAACTTAGAAAAAAGCAAGTCCCCCTTCAGCACATCCAAACAATGTGCACAGGATTCTGTGCCTCCCCTGGAAAGCTGTGAGGGGTCCTTCAGTCATACAAGTTCAAAGCCCACTGTCTATTTACTGTGGTAAACAGGGATGAATATGGCTCACACCTGTATATTTTTAGCATTATTATATTTTTATATGTCAGTGATACCTTTATAAGAAAAACATGGGCCAAAGCACATTTCGGTGCAGAAGACCTTCAACAGCTCTGTCTTTGAAAACCTGAATATTCCTTCAGAAAAAATTAAGCACACATGTGTTACCAAACAAAAACAGTGACATAACGCATATGACACGTAATATTTACGAGAGTCGCCCTCAAATAACCAGCTCAAAATGAAAAGCCCTCGAGACACAGAGACTAGAAGGCAAATGTCCCCAGTAATGCAGTGCTGCAGGCAGGACATCACAAATTGATTGTCCACCAGCCATGAAGACGGAAAAAAAACCCAAACAACTGTGCTTGGGTTTTTTCAAAGGAATAATTGTAATCGATATATTCAAGTCATGCAGTTTCTGGATTCCAGCGCAGTGTCCCAGTAACTGAGACTCCTGGAATCCTCAGTGAAGCACTATGAAGTACCATGCTGTTAGGGACATTTATTTTTCCAAATACAACCCCACCTTAATTCATTTGTAAATATTTCCCAACCCTGCTAATAAGCCATTTATTTATTTATAACAAAATAATCTTATTTCCAGTGAAAGGCATATAAAATTTGGGTCAATAATTTGTCTCCATCGTGCCGGACATTTAGGAGACCAGACAAAAACTGCCTGTAACAAAGCAGTTACCTCTAACCAAGAGGAGACCTTTTACTCTGGCTGTTTTGGCAGTCTGCTGCTTCTGACTGCAAAGAGCACCAAGGCAGAATCACTCCCATATTTTTAAAAGTAGGGACAAACAGGAAGTCAGAAATACAGAAGTATTCCATAGGGGGTTATAATAAGTATCATGTTTGAGCATGGCAATGTGTGGATTGCTTTTTTTAAAAGAACATAAAAAGGTAAAACTTCAGGAAGACAAAAAGCCATAAATGTGATAAAAAACCCCTGCAGATTATGCCTTCATAGAGTCTAGTTAGAACAATTACGGCTGTAGCAACAGGATGGGGAAACACAAGACACAATCTAAAAGAAGAATCATTTTACTTCAAAAGGTTTCTTCTTCTGGGAAGCCAGAATGTGGCAGGCGATTCCAAAACTTTTGGAAGGGGAAAAATAATAAGAGGAGTTGGAAAAAAAAAAAATCTTAAATTTAGTAGGAGCTGGGCATTTAGAAACTCTTGATCTTTAAATGTGCAGTATAAAAAACTCTCCAGCCAGAAGGTTTGTTACCAGCACTGTGTATCACGGAGTGAACCAAATCCATCTCATCCCCAAGTGTGCTGGTGACACACTTCCCCTTTGTTGTTCTGCACTTTGATCCCACTGGAACAGCACTTCATGGATAATACCTATTTATACTGCCTCTGCACACCACTTGTCTGCCTGGTACAGGGTAAAGTAGTAAAAAACTGATTCCGTAGCTTCCTACTGGTGGGATGGCGGTTTATTCCCGGCCTCGAAGGAGGGATAATTCACAGCTATTCCCCGGGATGACACGCTGTGGGACTGCAGCCTCCCACGAGCACGGCACTGTCGGAGGATATCCATGAAGCCGGCCCAGGCTCAAGGGAGGCAGTGAGGCGGCCTGCCTGCAGGCACTGCCCACCTCGGGGCATTGCACACCAAAATACGAGGGGTAAGACATTCGAGTGTCCTCATCCTCTACAACCCGGTGTAGGGCAGGGACGAAAGCAGGTGCACGTTTGTTAAGCAGACGACCGGCAGCCCTTCCCTCCAAGAGCCCAGAACACAGACTGGGGAGCCCAGCGACTCCAGCAGTTGCTATGAACTAATTGTTAATAGAAAGAAATATCATCTTTTGAAGTGCTGCCTTGCCAGAAAAGGTAATTTTTATTTGAATCATGACAACAGACACTAATATCAAACTGCCCTGTGCAAACGGGAGACAACTATTCAATGATTATATGAGATGATGTGACTCCCATACTTCAAAAAAACCCAACAAAACAAATATGCAGGCGTAAGACCACCCAAATAATTAGTTTTATAAGTATTAAGGCACCTAATTAATTTTTTTTGGTGGGAATTACCAAAAGAACTACTGTATAAAATGCTATGGGAATTAATTAATTGCAGAGGAAAATATTTAAATTATTTAATATCTATAATAAAATTCCTGTATTAGGCTCTGATTCAAAGCTCATTACTATCAGTGGCAAGGGCTCGTATGGCGCTGTCATAAATGGTTGAGCTGGTGATCTTTTCCTATTATTATGTAGAAATATTAGAGAAACAGATAGAGAAACTATCTCTATCCGTTAGCAATTGTGCCCGTGAAGTCAAATATATGAAGTCAAATATGCCTCTGTGCTCCTCAAGATACCAAATTAACTAACTTCTTGGTCTGTTGCTTTTAGGACCTGTGAGAACTGTGGCATATTATGAAGCAAAACAAAAAATGAGAGGCAGTAAATTATGATTAGGAAAGAGTTGAAACTAGTTCAAGGAACGCTGCTTTACTTGAGAGAGTAAATATAATGCTAAGTAGCAAAACATTAACAGCATAGTCTTTGTTCAGTGTGTGCTGCTCTACAAGGATTCAGCTAAAACAAAGCCTGGCATTAAATTTTAGGGTTTTCTCTTTTCAAGCTCTAAGTAACGCTACCACGTAGAACATTAAGCCTCTTTACAAAGTACATCAGTTCTTTCAAACCGCGCAGCTCTTCATGTCATCCTCTTTGAACCAATATACACTTAAGTAATTTGTCATTTGTCTTTTGGAGGTACAAACTTATATATAAAAAAGGTATTCCTTATTATATAGTAATAGTTTTCTATTCATACAGCAAGGACAAAAAAAAAAAAAAACCAACCCAAAACATTCCATGCACGACAGCAGAGAAGAGAGTTTTGAGACAAATGCAATGTTTCCATCATTTCAAAAACATCACAGAATTGTTGCCAAGCAAGAACTCAAAAGTCAACAGTTTTTCTGCAGAGCCCTCTCTAAATCAGAGGCATGGCCATCACGGAGACACGACTGAATTGTATTTTCTGAACTACTGCCTATTTCAGAGCCGCACAAACACAAATCTGTGCCTCAGCATTAAAAAAAAAAAAAAGAAAAAAAAAAAAAAGGATTAACCAAACCTGTCCATGGGGAAAACAAATCTGGCACAGCGGTTACTATTAATTAGCATTCCTATTTGTTCAATACTACATCCAGTTTCCAAAGGAAGTGTGACAGGCTGAACTAATAAAATGCTACTTCTCAAAGCTGCTAACACCCTATTTCCTGGGCAAACAAGCTGCCCTTCAGTGACACACCATGCACTAGTGTTCTGGAGAGTATCAAGGTTAACTACTTCCACCTATGCATCCTGCACCTATGCACAGCCTGTTTTAAAACAAAATCAACATTTAAAAGACATCCTTAAAGGCATTTTTATTACTTTTTTTTTTTTCTGTCAAATGAACCTAAGGAAGCAGCAGCAGAAGGGGACCGCCTGACACAGATGGTCACAAGTAAGCAGGTGACCCCCGAAGCTTTCTAGCTCTCTGCGAGTCAATTATTAATGGGGATTTCTCATCTTACCGCCCCATCCCATGCAGAGAGGAGCAGCAGCAAAACCTCATTCAGAATGCATCCATCCCTGCTAAGTGACTCGGGGAAGCAGTAAATCAGCAGCGGTGAGCAGATGGTGCGAGCGGCTCGGGAGCGGGAGGGCAGCGGAGAGGAGCAAAGCGAGCCCGCGGAGACGGCGTGTCCGAGGAGCCAAGCACAGCGCTCACTAACCCGAGCTCTCGCTGAGACAGACCGTGGGAGCCGCAGATCGCCCGTGCTCTGCATCCCCACTGCTTTGTTTATCGGAAAATATTCAAAATGGAAACCTGACTCCACTTCTAAAAATAGCCGAATTTAGTCCAATTCAACTCGAAGTCCCGCTGCCGAAGTGTGCGACAACGGTGAGCAAATACCTCGTCTTATCTCCAAAAGGCAGCATGTCAAGCCAAAGAGGGGAGAAAAGCCCCGACGAGCTCTTCAGGTCCTCGACATCGGGCTCTTCGAGAGGACCGACAGCCAGAAGGGGCGAGAGCCGAGCGGCCGCCCCCGAGCAGCGGCGGAGCCCGGCGGCCCGCGCCGCCCTCTGCCGGCAGCCACCCCTCCCTGCCCGGGGCTGTGCCCCCGCTCCCCCCGGGCACCAATCCCTCCCTGCCCGGGGCTGTGCCCCCGCTCCCCCCGGGCAGCCACCCCTCCCTGCCCGGGGCTGTGCCCCCGCTCCCCCCGGGCACCGATCCCTCCCTGCCCGGGGCTGTGCCCCCGCTCCCCCCGGGGCAGCGACCCCTCCCTGCCTACTGCCCTGCCCGGGGCTGCTCCCCCGCTCCCCTCCCGCAGTCCCGGGGTCAGCACGGCGGCCGTGAGGTGCTCGCCCCCCCTGCTCGGGCGGAGCTCCGCTCTCGAATGCACCGCGCACGGCTCGTCAGCTCCCTCGGCACTTAACCCGTGGCCCTCGCCCCGCCGGGGGCCGCCCTGATGTCAGAAGAGGTGACGAGCCCACAGGGTGACGGAGCTCTCGAAGAGCAGCGCTTTGTTTTGCGTTGACTAAGTACTGACATAACCCACCCTCCACAAGACAGATGCTGTCTGAGGCTACCACCTACTTCGCAGGGCTGGGAAATACGTACTTGCTTGCTACTCACGAGAAGTTGGCTATGGCTGTTTTAAAGCGAGAAAAAAAACCCACAAAAATAAATAACTAGGAGTCCAGGGCACGGAGCTCCAGGCTGGGATCGCTTCGCTGACCGGCTCCCGGTGCCGGGCGGGCGCTTCCCAGCGGAGCGGCCGCGGGCCGGGGGCTGCAGGCGAGAGCCTGCGGGGGAGCGCCGCGTGTGCCCGTCGGTGGCAGCCGAACGGGGCTGCTGCGCCCTGCTTTCAGTTTTTGCTCTTTCGAGGGTGGGGGCGGCGGGAGGGGACCTGGGGGAGTCGCTTCTTTTTATTTTCTTTGGAGACAGCAAAGGGAAACGGGAAAGAGCGAGCTTTCGCTGGGAAGAAAGGAACTGCCTCTATCCGCCTCCGCTCCGGTCTTACCTTGTAGCTTTCCTAACAAAGTAAGAGCGGGTAAAGTCGCCGTGATCGTCCAGCCACGCTTCCACCGCTTCCTGCTCGGGCGGGGGGGCAGAGCAGCGCTCCATGCTCCCGCCGCCGCTCTGCCGCCTCCTGCCGCGGCTGCCGGCGCCTGCCTTCCCCCCGGCACGGCCCCAGCCAGCCCCGGCCCCGGCCTCCTGCGCTGCCCGGTGCCGGGGCTCCCAACGCCGTGCCTGCGCCGCGCTTCCAACGGTGTGCGGCCCGGCAGGAAAGCCCGGTGCGCGGCACCTCAGCGCATCTCCGGCCCGGCCGCCGGTCCCGCCGCGGGCACAGCCGGCTCCACCTCCGCCGCGGCCCCGCCTGCCTCCAAAAAGTGGGAAATCGGGTGTCACTTCGGAGTGGTTCGCTGCGGGGTGTCAATATGTGATCTTTGACGGACCTCAGCCTGGGTACGAGTGCTAAAGCCCTGGCTTTTCAATCCTTCATGCCTACAGTGCGGCTCTTAGATGCCTTTCTGACATTTAATAAGCACAGCCTAGCTCTGAAGATGCTCAGCTCACAGCTCCTACTTTCTCTAAAATTAGACAGCTAGGACTGAATTTTTGGTTAACGTTGAGCATCACTTTCATGTATTCTAGTTCCATTCTAAGGTGTGCACATGTGCCCATTTATAATAATTTATACTCTGCATTCACAAAAGACATTTCACAAAGTAGGATGCATATCCAAGGCTTCCTGTGTCATCACATGCAGTGTCTTTGAAGGTAAGATAACATGTATCATATGAAGTGTTCTCTGCTGCTCTTAACCCCTTTTCAGGCATATATAGACTCGATTTATAGAGAGGTGGGATTCTGCAGCCTGGGAAGGGTTATCAGCAGGAAAATCACAGCAAAGGGGTTAAGAGCCTGTCCATGAGCTCGGGGGAAAAGTTTTGTCTTCTGTGTCTTTATGTCACATCTGTGTATAGCACTCACTTGGACACGTGTGGGTTTTATCTTCTGTGTCTTTATGTCACATCTGTGCTCAGCACTCACTTGGACACGTGTGGGTTTTGGCTATGAGTGTCTGTGTGAAATATGAGGCACACAGAAAGGGGGGGTTTACATGAACATTACTCTGCTATAATGTGTGCACGGTGACCAGAGAGCAAAAATGAAGGTAAAGCATAAGCCGGTTACATGCTGCATGAGTCAAGCTGCTACTCAAGGCAGAGACAAATGTTTCAGCGGGGAAATACAGAATTACCAAGCAAACTGCATAAACAGACAACATGGCAATAAATGAAGCAGATGTTCAATGTCAAAACCTGGAAAGAGTAGTATGTTAGAAAAAAAAGAAAAGAAGCCTGTCTTGTAACTCATGGAATTCTACATTAACCACTTCATTTCAGGAAAAGGGTTTTGAGGCAATAAAAGCCCTTAAGCTAGGCAAAGCTTTTGGAAAATAACACTGTGTTAGAGTGCTAAAGTATAATAACAATGTAAAACATACAGTTATATGATGCAGATTTTATAAGTCTCTGAAATGCCATTCCCTGAAGGATCTCATGGAATATTGATCATCCCATCTCAAAAAGTAATTGCAGAATCATCAGAGGTGATCTAGACAGGAAAAACAAGGAAGACCAAACACATGGAAATATCTTTTTCTGTAAAGAGGCAGAAGGAGTTTGTTTACAAAAGGACAAATACAAAAATATAATTTAATTACTGGTATTTAAAAACTAAGATAAGATTTTCTCTCTGTCTCATAGGAGAATAACAAGGTAATGGTCAATGAAATTATGTCAGCTGCAATACATAGCGTCTCATTTCATGTAATTAGGAATAGCACTAATAGAAATAAGCATTTATACTGTAGTACCATCCAGTAAGCCACAGTCAGGAACAGAGGTTTTGCTGAGCACTGTAAACATATAATATTAAATACCAGGCCAGCTGAGACAGATACAGCATCCCTGTGCCTCCTGCCACAAGGAACTGGGACTGTGGGTGCTGGGGCTGTTATTTGCCTGCAGATGAGAATCAGTAAAGCCAATGCAAATGATTGTCTTCCTGCGAAGGCAGTGGCGAAGCAGCAGTTCAAAGGATTGCTACCCAAGCAAAGAATAGCATAGTCTTTCCCAAAAGAAATAAAAATGGAACAGCTGGGGGGGGAAAAAGGGATACTTTCTCCGTATCCGATGAATTTCCATGAATAATAATGAACATGCTGTTTTCAATTTTAAGGTGACAGGAGGGGATGAAGGCCAAACATAACAAAGAATGAACGGTAAAAGTGGAAAAAGTCTTCTGTAATTTTGGCTTCCAAAGTGCTCCGAAAAAGCTCCGTGTACCTTAGCTCTCGCCCAGCTTTCCAGTTTGTTTCTGAACTCAGAGGACAGAATTGGTGTAGAGTAGCTATAAACCTGAAAAGGGGTTGGCATACAAATAAAAATGTCCAGTTCAGGTTTAGGAGCTGTTTGGGAGCTCAGTGTCAAAGCCAGGATGCTTTTCCATCAGTAGACCGTGCTACAGCAGGACTGGTTGATGCAGAAGCTTTATAGCTGGAATGTTCCATTTGATCTTTCACAAATACTGTCATGTAAGGAGACAAGAAAGTGGGTTTTTTGTGTGTGTCCAAGGCACATACATTAGAAATGCTGCTAACTCATGATAATTACTAAGGACAAATATGGACGTATGTAACTGGAGAAAGAAGTGTTTATGTGATATTTTATGCTCAAAGAACTCTATATTTATTTAAACTTATTTGAAAGTAATGTGATTCTGTATTATTTCCCTTTAAAAGAGAAGAAAGTAAGGTTTCAGATGTCACCCATAGTTAACTTGTCTGACTTACTCATTAGATGAATTGGAGCAGCATTTAGCTTTGCTAAGAAGTGGGAATTGGCTGTCTTTCTGCTATCCCTTGAATCTGGAAAACAGTTGGTCCATTTTGGCTCCTAAATCAATGTAAGGGCTGTACTATATTGCCAGTGAGGGTAGAATATGATAAGGTAGAGGAAAGTATTCCTCTTGTTTGTTAGCCAGCACTTTTACACACACATGCAAACACACACAGTGAAGAATCCCAGTACTAGTAAAGCAAGTTTGCATTTCCCTTCCATTATATAAGTTGCATAAAGAGAGTGCAACAGCAACCAAAAATCCAATTAATTTAAAATCTAATTGTTACTTAGTGATGAAAATACTGACTGATGAGAATGTCTTATCAGTTTATACTCTCAGTCCTTTCCAAATAATTGCTGGAAATGCTTCCCAAATAAACATGGCCATGCAGAGCTACTCACTCATTGCATAACCCGCCTTCCCCTCTGGGATAACAGTGCATATGTCCTGCAGGAAGCCATGGAAAACAGTAGCTTCCTCCTATTTTGACTTGGATGTGATTGAGCACTTGCGTCAATCAAAGGGCCGTGTGAGATTATTGTTAACCTCGGGAAAGGAGCAGCTTCTCAGAGCTGGTGGTGATACACGGGCATTTGGCTGGGAAGTACTAACTTCATCCCTGAAAAATGTCACTTAGGATTTCAGTTTAATATATTAGCATTTCATATGCCAACCGACCAGTATGCTCAAATTTTAACCTTTGCCAGTTTCTGTTGGAACTCTCAGGATAAGTTGGAAACCTGTTACCAAGTCTCAGCCTTCTTTTCTTTAAGCTAAGTAGTACCACATCTTTAAGTTCTTCCTTGAACATCACGTTTTCCAGCCCTCTGATCATTTTTTTCCACTTCTGATGTTTCCTTAGTTGTCTCTACCATTCCTGCAGTGTCTCCCCAGGCTGGGATCAAGTAATCCAGCTGAACACGTATCAGTGCTACATGAAGTGGAAGGGATATTTTGGGTACCTTGCAGGCTCTACTCCTGCTAATACAGTCACCCTTGGATATGCCTTCTTGGCAACAGCCTGGTTTTGTTGACTTGTGGTCACCATCTATTCTCTCTGTTCTCTTTTTAAATATTTGCCTTGTATTTAAATATATTTATACCTTGTACTCAGGTGTTACCTGAGC